AACCCTGAACCCTAAACCCTTCATGAACCCTGTAAGCCCTAAGCCCCTTCCTTTTCGAACCCTCGATGCACCTTTTCGCTCCTCGGCTCGCGCGCTTCTGGGGCTTTCGAGCGGAAGGCGCAGCCTTCCTGGAAGGCGAGGGTTTTGGGGTTTTAACAGGGCTTTGGGGACTCAACAAAAGCTAAACCCGGCCTTCCAGCAAGGCTGCAGATGCAGGGTTTGTAGGATCTTTAGGGTTTAGGGCCGTAAGGGGTTTACGGTGGGATTATAGGGTTTAGGGTCTATAGCGTCTTCAGGGTTCAGAGGGTTTTGTCGGGGGGCTTATACAGTATCAGTATAGGGTTATCGGGATTATTGTCTGTGCTTTGAGACTTCAGGCCATTTTTGCCTATCGCAGCGCGATGGACTTCAGGCACGCCAGAGTATACAAGGAAAGCAATGCAGAGCGGCACGAGCCGGAGCCCGGTTTTGGGGCTTGGGGGCTGTAGGGTTTGGTGGCGCAGAGTCCGGGCTTTTTGTGATGGCTTCCAAGGGACAAGGACTGTTTTCGTTTTCAATGGGGAACTTGGCATGTGCAGAGTGGTCGGAATTAAATGCCTTGAGCGATGAAACACGGCACTAGCTTAGGCCTGGGGCTGCTGGCTCTGTAAGATGGAGCATGGCGGCTCGCAGAGACCTTTTGCCCAGTTGCCTCTTCGCCGGTCGGCTTTGCTGTCGGCGCAAGCGTGCACGCGCACGTGCAAGCATCGATGTTGCGGCCATGTTTGCAGGAGAACCTTCTTTGCAGACTTGTATAGTTTCAGAAGACAGTGCTCACAGCCTCTGTGCTTGTTGTCTTTATGCTAGATTGTTGCTGCCTCCGGTTCTGGTCTTCCGTCTTGCAATGGTCACAGGCTGTACCTAGTACCTATCCTGTTTGAACCCCTACGCTATAGAGCCGACAATGGCACCACAGGTGGTATGGCAGTGACAGCTTGCAAGGAACGCTTTCTCTGCCAGCATGCGACGTCGTGAAGCTCGACTGGCACTTCCCCTCACCGCCCTCCATAAAAGATGTTAGTCTTACAGATTATGTGGCTGCTCGAGCCCAGAACTGACATCCGGAATGCTGGTGCCTGAAGTCGGGAATCAAGAGCTTGGCAGGCCGAGTAATCCTGGAGTGCTGCAGCTTGATGTCTGAGGGGCAGACATGGAAAATGAAAACGACTGCGAAAGCACAGCATGCAAACAAAATCGGACATTCCAGCCATATCGGAGCTCAAACCGGCTCTGCTCAAGTATGTAAAGTGCATCCTGTTAGCCAGGAACATGTCCGCAACAGCATAAGAGTTGTTGAGTCGTAGCCTGTAGCTCTGAAAGCATTTCGTTCGCGGGGGCCTGGGATCCGATCTTCTACAGGGCACCGTAACAAAGCTGCAGAGCAAAACCCTACACAGTCTACAGTCTAAACATCAATGCGCGCACCCACGCGCACATCGACCTCTTGCTGTGTATATTTATATATATGCACATATGTAATGATACAAATACTAAATAAATATGTGCATATGTACGCAATGTACTCATACAGTACGCATACTTATGCATGCATGGCATATGCGCATACATACAGACATACCAACATGCCAACATACATACATGAGCACATACGTACATACATAGATACATAGATAGATAGATAGATAGATAGATACATACATACATACATACATACATGGAAAGATAGATGGAACTGCGCGCGGGTGGAGTCAGCAGTCTGGACCTGCCTGGATCCAGCAAAAATTCCTGATGGTTTTGGTTGATGGGTGGACCGCCTCAAGCTCTGGGATAAAGTTAATTTGATTTGGTGTAAGATCCCCGGGTTCACCCACCCGCCCTCATTCCACCTTTGCAGCCATTTGAAGAGATGTGGAGAGGTTTAAGGTGTAGCCCCATTAACGTTGACCTGCCTTCGCAATGGAAAGAAACAATGTTTAAGAGAAAGTCGCGCAAGGCTTGTCCAACGATGACACAGCAGGTCGGCAGGTATCGACCTTTAGGAACTATCAAATCAGTGACATCGAAATGAAAAGTGGTGACGGCTTGGCCTCGGTTGACAGCCAAGCGTGTGCACCTTATTACTCAAGTTCACTATCGGGCTTCATGTCCTGTCGGCCAGTGACCTTCGTTGGACACCATCGTTGGAATCGTTCCGTCCAACTTCGCCCTCCACGTTCCTCACCAACAGGGTGGTAAGGAAGGTCGAGAGCGGATCGATTAGGGTTCCGGCAAGCTGCTGGAATTCGTGGAACAACAGGATTCCCTATCTGCTGAGCTATGATTGCGGCCTATGCGCCGATAAAGGAGCTGCATGTAGCATACAAAAAAACCTCGAACAGTTGTGATGCAGTCGAACGGGAGTCCCTCTCTCTTCTATCCCTTCTCTGTCTGGTTCTCCCTCTTTGTCGCTGCGTGTCGTGTGACAGGGGATCATCGACACAGAGGTGCAAGGGGGCCTGTCAAACAAATCAAATCTTGTCTCTTCTACTGCCAAGAGTCATGGACCCTTTTTGTCAGGAGGGCTGCCGTGCGTGCACATGCCTTACACACTGTAACTCCTCGGTTCGCTCATTTTCGCCATGCGTCTCTGGAATCGTAGCCTTGGCCTCCTCAAAGAGCTCGGTCAAGGATCCTTGGCTTAGCTTTGAAAGATTGCTACTGCAAGACATCGCTGTCTCGGTGTTGTCTTGAGGCTTCACAAGCCCTGAGCCGAGCCGCGCTTCGAATCCGTAAGCGGGAGGACTGTCTGCTTCCTTGCCAGGGCTTCTTGGGCTTAGGGTGTTTTGGGTTTAGTTGGCTCATAGGGTTTACAGTCTTCATGCTTCAGTCATACGGCTGCAGCCCAAAATGCCGACACACACGCAGGCAGCCCTTACATAACCCTGAACTATCCCCGGCTGTGAGCTTGGCATGGCTGACTTTGGCTTTGACGAGGTTTCTGGTGTGCGGCTTTGTGTGCTTAGGGTTTAAGGAGCATTGTTCAGGATTATGGCAACCCTGAGGCCCTAAACCCTGAGCACCCTAAACTCAAGTATCATAGCGAGGTCGACCGACTGTCAGGGGTCGTTTGACACCGCCGTGACTGTGGGCCAATCCGCAGCAGGATGATGCGATGCCGGTTCTCAGGTCTAAGTAACTTGAGACGGCTTGGAAGTTTGTTCACGCTGGATATTACTTCCGGAAAAGCATAGCCGCTGGTCGCCAGAAAACTTAGCGTTGCCTGCAAGATACGCCCTTCCAGGTTGCGAAGGCTTCAAGGCGATTGTATGCTCTCAAAGCTCGGACAAGCCGGACGAGGTCTCACACGGGTAGCAGTCTTCGGCAATTCTGCTAGGTTGGTACTCCTCGTCTGCACCCAATTCCCCAACAAAAAGCAGCTTCAAGAACTTGAGCCTGCTCCGTTCCTGGGCTCTTGTGGCCTGCTACTTCTTGCAGCGTAAGCAAAAACCGTATAGGAGCTAAGTCCTGTCCCCACGAACCAATTGGTTTTCTTTTTGTCTTCTTGTGTGCAGGCTTCGGTCGACTGCTCACCGGCAAGCGGCGGTGGCCATTCACGATGATAGAGCCTACAACGCGCGCCGACCGCAGGCAACGTGTCGCATCCCCAACACTCCAATTTGTCTCGAGAAGCCGTCCATGAAGGAACATCGCGTAAACGAGGAAGAGCTTCGTATTCGGATTTAAGGCGTAGTCTTCATTAACGGGTACAGTAGGCTCTTGGGGTTCGAGAAGCAGGGTTTGCATCTATGTACACAACGAGCGTTCTTTGCCGCTCTCAGAGTTTCGCCTTCGGCAGCCGTGCACGGCCGAGCTGGCCTTGGAACCTTGATCAAAAGAGAAGCAGGGATCCAAATATGATCCCCCATCATCCGTTTAATTAAATCGAAAGAGACCGGGACCAAAGTTTGAGTCTTCAAGGTTTGGGGTCGTAAGGCTGAGGGCTCAGCCGCTGCGTGTCTTTACCCCAATTACACCCTGATTTCTGTGAACAGCGAAACAGGCCCATGCTAGATGAAGAAGTTAAACCATCCCGCTAATACCTCAAGAATGCATGCACGTCGGCAGCCTCTCTTCCCAGGCATAGTGCTCCTCGAAACCCACCTGAAGAGACGGTGGACCAGTTCAAGTTCAAGGCTATAGAATGACTTTGAACACAAATGATAAGACTATGGTGTCAAAGACTAGTCGTAGAAAAGCAGCATCGTCATGGGTGGCATTAGTTCACATTGACATGACAAGCACACTCACAGAGTTTCACGGCGGCAGCAGCGACAGCAAACCACAGGTCCTAAAACCCAAGTACAGGTGCACACCCTGACTATATATCCTAAGTAAAATTATTGGCTAATTGGATCCTCACGGGGAAACCGGAACTTGGACCCTCACGTGGAAAACGGACTCTGCAAAGTGTGGTGAGGATGCCTCCATAGTTTCAGGATGTTTCGAATAGATTCCTTAATCAAGGGCTGTTGGAGTTCGCTCCAATAGCCTCGCGGTAGAGCTCTGCGAAGGGAAGGCGGCTTTGTTCCTGCCATGTTGAGGCTGTGTACTTCTTGAAAAATCCTGTAGGGTGTCCGCTAATGAAGGATCCTCTCCCTCGCCTTGATTGAATAGGGTTTTATGCAGTCCTTTCGGCTTTATACTGCGTTATAGAAGATTTTTTTAAGTGGTTACTGACCAATTGTCCAACAACAAGATTCGCATCATTGGGGATTTATTTTATCCCATTTACTGAATATGTCAAGCTTCCAATTCGGGGCGTCTCTATAAGGTTTCTGGGTGTTTTCTGTGGAGATAACTGACATTGAGAGTCTCAAAAGTACGTGACTCGAATATGTCTGCATGGTGGGGTTCCTAATTGAGGCCAGATGGTTACATGTCTACACGAGCTTCTGCTACCACAATGCTTGCTACTGGTTTTGCTCGCGCTGCCTTTCCATGATGTGCGGCTCACTACTCTTCTTTTGCTGCCATTGCCATGTGTCACTAGCTTTGCCAGAGAGAATATTACGGCCGATTACTAACAAGGTTTAGGTCAAGTCGCATTCTCACATATTTATATATATATATATGTACATACACACACCTTATCATAGATCTGAAATTCAAGCCCGAAGCCTGAAGCACAGAAATGTACACCCAAGCCCTGAGCTCTGCACCGTAAAGCCCCAAAGGAGAAACACCAGAACCCCCTGTACCGGCGATGCTTTCTTTGCCAAGAGTCCGTAAGGGTTTCGACACTCACACTCGCACGCAGCAGGCAAGGCTCCACATGGCCGTAAGGGTTTCGGATTTAGGATTTGAAACCCTAAACCGTAAACCCTATCGCAACACCTGAGCTGCCGGGGCCTCGGGGTGTCGCCCTTCCCTCATCTCCCGCAGGCATCTCTTCATGGCCTCGGCTGGCCCCCCAAAAGTTCCCGTTTACTAAGTAATACCTTTGCGTGGTCTATCATTCTTTGGGTACGTCGTCGGGCTCTGTACCGTCTTTTCTGTCTATGGGGCTGTTTGTGTAGCTTTACACACTGGTTTACACTGTATTAAGTTTCCACGGCGCCCTAAACGGCTTGAGAGGTTGTATTGGGACCATGCTATGTAACATTAGATATTGAAATACATTCTGTAGTGTATACATAACCTTGTTAGTTGGTTTATAATGATATGATAGTAAGAATCACAACAATCGTACTCTATGTATATATATATATACATATACCTACCTACCTACCTACCTACCTACCTACGTACGTACCTACCTACCGACCTACGGACCTACCGACCTACCGACCCACGGACCTACCTGCCGACCTACCGACCTACCGACCCACCGACCCACCGACCTACCAACCTACTGACCTACCGACCTACCGACCCACCGACCCACCGACCTACCAACCTACTGACCTACCGGCCTACCGGCCTACCGACCTACTTACCTACCGACCACCTACCTACCTACCCACCCACCGCCTGCCTACCTACCCGGCTGGCTGTCTGGCTGGCTGTCTGTCTGTCATGTATTGTCAATGGAAAAACATGTATCACAATATGAAGTAACATGAGGCAAGACAAGGTAAGCTAGAATAGACATAAATGGAAGACATGCAGATTAAGATTAAGATATAGTATGGTAAGAATATGATAGGTAAGCTAGGGTCATATAACCTAATGTAGGATGATACAGTACAATAGGCTACATTATAATGCAGAATATTAATACAATACATTAAAGGAATGCAGTCAGTATAACGCAATTTCGAGTCACATGGAACCTTCCGAGTAACAACCCCCCTCCCCCCCCAAAAAAAAATCAACACCAAATAGTAGGATCAAGACCAAAACGGCACGAACTACCGAAACCTCCGCCTTCAAGTGCAGCCTCAGCACAGACATCGCAACGTTGAGCACGGTCAGGCCCATAAGGCTCAAGGCAAAGCCAAGCTGTCCTGCTTCCTTCACCTGGGGTACTTACTTCCCCGCTACCCATCACAAACCCGAAGTAGTGACGGCTGAAACCCCAAACCCGAAGCAAGGCTTGGGCACCAGGTCCCACTGTGTAGGGTTGTAATGGGTGTTATCGGGTTTCATGAGGCGTGAAAGGCTATACAGGTCTCGGTAGTGTCTACATTGACCAGGATAGTGCGCAAAAGATCAGGCGCTCTGGGTTGTCTTATCTTCATGCGGCACAAGACGCACCGACGAGCTGGACATCCGGCGTTTCCACCTGATTCGCAGTTTCTTGGATGTCAGAGGAGGGATGTTCCAGACGAGGGTTTCGCGGCCTTTACCACCACTACTCGGGATTCGGCACGACTTGCTAGATCGCGAAAGCTTCCAAGTAGATGCCAAAACTTTCGCACTACTGCCAAAATCTCCTGTGTAAGGCACCTGCGCAAGCATGGTCGGCACCCTCAACTCGGAGTTCAGTCTCAGCATCTCGGCTTTGTCGGACAAGCCTTCAGCATACACCTGCAGCAGCGGCCGAAGAAGTAAAAATGGAAAGAAGCCGTTGTGATGCAACGACTAAGCACAGCACTCCAGCTGCTAGCCTCTAGCCATTATCCACAGTCACCATTGCGTACGACTGCTACCACGAGCTTTCACGAGTGTGGCTGATCCAGAACGTTTCGCCTGAAACTGCGAGCCGAGCCACCACGTCTGCACCGAGATCCGCAAAAGCTCGACACCTCATCTCCAAACAAATGCTGCAAGGCATGACTGTCGAAAAGCGTTACATGTTGCAGCAGCCAAGAAAACGTTTGCATTCCAGCTATGCCCGTAAGCCCCAAGCCCTAAATCGTGGTTTATGGACCAAAAGTGCTTCCACAAGTTTATGCCTCAGCTCAGATATTAATAGGGACTCTATATAGTGCGGGATGCCGGGAGCTTTGCCTGCTAAACTTCTAGTGTGGCCCTTGGCAATATTACGAACAATGATCATGATTATGACGACTGCGAATTCTATTCCTTTCATCAATTTTGTTACGGGCATTAGTGCCTTTATTGCAGTTACCGTTTCTTCAGTAGAAATAGTAGCTGTTGTTATTTCTGAGCATTGCTTTTGCTTTAGTTACGGCTACGAGACTTCCTGTCAGTCGGTGTGGCTGCCGCCTTGCGAGTGCTTCCTCAAAGCCACCATTGGAGGCAGCATGGCGGCAATCGGTCCTCGAGCTCTTTGCTTAGGGTTCAGGGGTTCGGAGCTTGAGGCTTTCGCTTCAGCGTTTGAGTCTTAGTTCTTTGGGGGCCGGGGTAGCTCAAACAGGGTTTTGTAAGGGCTTGCAAAGCAATTTGCCTGTCGGATGCTACGCGGGGTTGCTTGCAATTGCCGAAACGGGTAAAGGGGAAGTCGTCTCAGGGAAAATCATGGTTAAGGTTGCAACATTTGCCAAAGTACAGCTAACGAAACAACAGTACTGATACTGATTAAACTGCTTCTGTGCCAGGAGACACTACACACATAAGCCCCTTTTTGTTTTGCAGCTGGCTCTGAGGGTCAGTCAGCAAGTCCGCCCACAAACCCTGAAAACCAAACCTAACACCAACAGCCCTGTCCCTGCAAGCGGGCAAGTGGGGTAGGTAAGCTTGATTGCATCGGGCACATGGTGCTGAAGAAGCAACAGAAAGCCAAAAGGACCCTACAAGGTACTCGGGTTTAGGATAGTCGTAATGCCGGTCTGTAGTCGTAACTAGGAAGAGTATGTGATAGCAGTAATGTTCATGTGGCCAGTTTCTGACTCATTGGATACTTGGAACTGTACACCGGCGATGGATGCATTGTGCAAGGTTGCCCGAACCCGAAACCTAAACACAAGAAAGCTGCAAACTCTGCCCTACAAGCCCTAAACTCTGTGCTGTAAACCTACAGCCCTGTTATACACCTTACAATGAAGCCCAAACGCACAGGCCCGTAAACCGTGAACATTAACTACAATCAACCTTTGATGCTAGCTCTACAGCGCGCGCCGACTTCCACCAGTCCTTCCAATGATCACCAGATCCTGGCCTCAGCTGTGGATGGCATTGTGCAGTTCCATATAACATAGGTGACCGAACCTAGGCCCAAAACGCTAGGCTTACTGAATGCAATGGCTTCTTAGGCTGTCATTGCCTGCTGTGCCGCGAATGCTACCTTCCATTCGTTTTGTTGGGGTGAGGAGGAACGCGCTTCACTAGCTTTGCGATGAATGTTACACACACTTGCTGCGAAATGCTACCAACGGATGCCATTGATAGTCTTCCTGTCGCTGCTCTGCTTGATGTGCAGTACTGTCTTGTTTGCAACGACTCGTGATACCATGATTCTTAATCACTGTGGTTCCTATTCTCTCATACTATTTCTGCTTCTATGTCGCTATGACTTGAACTCGCGTTTCATGGCCCCGAAACCCGAGGCCTTCCTTTCGAAGCTCCTCGCGAGCTGCGAGCGCCGCAGCGAGGCGCTGGCACGCCTGCACAGGGCGCAGAAGCGCGATTCCGAAGACGCGGGTTAGTTGGGCAAAAGCATTGTGTTTTGCAGGTTTGGTCGAATCTCGTATAGGGCTTCGGGCAAGGGCGGGCAAGGGCATGTTGGGGTGTTAGGTATACTCGAGCTTCAGTGATGCCTATGGGCCTAGGGATTTGGGTCGGCAGGACAGAGGAAGATAACCTTTTAGAGGACCACGGGACCACTAAATCCTGTCTGAGATGGACCCGCGTCACAGATATGGCAACGGTGCAGAGTTGGAACACACACACAGATATATATATATATATACACATATGTATATGTTCGGGCATTCCGAAGAGACCGTTTATCCCTGAAAGAAACGGGAATAGGTGTCCTACCGTAGAACCCTAACCCCTGATTTCAACATGCGAAGTATGCAGCGGACTTCATGAGCTCTTCCGGGCTCTGAAGGCTACTTGCAAGCCTCTTCCCGCTCGATGACAGCCAGGCCCTCCCAGGCGAAGTGAAGTTTATAAAAAGCATCTCAGAGGGATGCATGAGTTTGGAATGCTCTTATTGGGCTTCTGAGATTTGCTGTAAGGATTACCCTAAAACCTGCAAGATGGCTAGAAGGCTTGCATCTTTGTTTGCTTCCAAAGGCTTTCATTTTGTTTAGGGCTTCAAAGCTTTTTGGGCCCACAGGGCATCAAGAAGGATGCTTTGCATCATCGTTGGTTTGTGCCAAGTCTCTTCTGGGACCTCTCATGCACTGGAGTGCGATTCAAGAGCTGGTTCGTCATAGTCTGGGACCAGGCCCAGAATCCACAAATCCTGTTTTGAGACTCAGACCTTTGCATAGGCGCATCGCTTTGGGTAGCATTGGTCCTCGATGGTGATGCCTGCGAAGCCTGGCATCAAGGCCAAGTTCAGGACCCAGGGTTGGGGCTGATTTAGGCCTCATGTTACATGCGATGTGTAGTGAAGGCACGAGATGCCCATTCTGGCATCTGGTTCACTGCGCTAGAACCTACGAGAACTTAGACAACGTGAGTCGACTCTGCGAAACTGACTTTGGTCACGTGTTCGAACCTGCTGCTGCGTACCCCCGAATGGTTCGCCGAACGTTGCCGCTGCCGCCAAATCCGGTATCTCCATCGCCGATCACACACCTTTGCTCCCCACTCCCCACACCTGCAAACCCAAAGAGATCCACGGCGTGTCCAATCTAGGGAGTCTTTGCAGCATTAATTCTAAGAGGAATCGCTGCCCACAGCCGCTGCTATCCGAGCCAGCAGCACTTTCACCAGCAAATTGTGGGGGTCTGCATCGGAAAGACGGAAATTGCGATCCACGGTCAAAGCCGAAAGGTGCGATTCCCCCTGCAAAACGCCGCTTTCATGGGCCACTGCCCAGGCAAACCATCCCCTCTAAAGCTTCCGATGGCTGGTAAGAGCGCTTAACCCTAATTCATCATCCGGGACCCACCCTGAATTCAAACTCGCTCCTGGAGACCATGAGTTCCAAACTCCTCCAAATCCGACACCTCCCAAATAAGGGCGAAACGCCCGGTCGTCAACTCCAGAAGTCCCAACTCCCAAAACTCTAAAATCCCTAAAATCCCTCAACCCTGAGCTCGAGTCAGGCTTCATGCTGGAGCCAACGGCCGCACAAATGTTGGAGCCGACCTGCACCTGCTGACGACGCGCGCATATGGGACTTTCCGAAAAATTAGGGTACCTTATGTTGGGGTCCTTATAATAGGGTTCCTACTATTTAGGGTACTATGGGGTCCCCTACTTTCGGAAACCCCCATATGTCTTTCTAAGAGAGACAATAATCAAACCAAAAGTAGTAACACAACTAACACAAGAGGAGGGTGGAGGGAGGGGAGGGAGAGGTAGACAGACAGACAGACAGGTAGACAAACAGACAGACAGATAGGTAGACAGATAGACAGATAGGTTGACTTAGGCAGATAGACCGATAGATAGATACACAGATAGATAGATAGACAGACAGATAGACAGACAGATATAACAAATAGACAGACAGACAAATAGATAGACAAATACATAGATAGACAGGTTGGCTAGGCAGATAGACCGATCGATAGATAGATAGATAGACAGATAGATACGTAGGTAGATAGATCGATCGACAGATAGACAAATAAATAGAAATAGCATAGATAGGTAGATCGATACTTTAATAGATAGACAGACAGACAGATAAACAGATAGAGCGATGGATAGGAGAGGTAGATAGATAGATGGACAGATAAATAAATAGAACGATAGATGGGTAGATAGATAGATACATAGACAGGTACATAGAGAGAGCGATAGATAGGTAGATACAGTAGATAGACAGATAAATACACACAACGATAGATGGGCAGATAGACAGATAAATTGATAGATAGATAGATAGATAGATAGATAGATAAGTAGATAGATAAGTAGATAGATAGACGGACAGATAGGTACGAGAAGATTGATCGACGGATTGCTTAGGTCGGTGAACAGATAGTTTGTACACGCGTACAAGTTCGCTATTGTTCAGGGAGGTACGGAGCGTTAAACTGCCTAGATTAGTAGACTGACATGTAAGCGCACACACACAGACATAGATGGATGTAAGTGCCGAGTGTTTTCTATACGATTGACAAAAACCCTGCTGCACATAAAGGATTGGCAGTAGCTCCCTTTGACATGGAGAAGTAAATACAAACACAAAGTTTTCAGTACATACTAACACACAAAGTTTTCGAGAAACGTGAAGTCGAGCTGAAATTACACACCCCTGGACCACGAACCCCTAGCCCCAAAGCCTGGAGCACTCCGAGCCTGCTCGGCGTAGGAAATGAGGCCAACATCCGGATCTGAGCTGCTCGAGAGGGGGCTTTCTTACAGTCGGGGGCAGCTTCCTTAAGCGTCGTAACACGGCTATTTCTGGTACAGACTAGGGTCTTCTTGCTGTGGAAACTGCCACAGGCCATTCGTTTGTTCGGCCGACAACCTGGGGCTATCAGCACAAATCTGCGGCCAGCTCAGCAATACGAACATCGTGGCAGCCAGTTGAGGCCGTGATGAAGCCCTGGTGCGAAAACGGCAGACAGAAAATGACTCATACGAAGCCGGGAGAATAGGAACAACAACTTTGAAGAGCTGAGCAACCGCGGTATGGCATATGTGGCCCAGGCACAAGCAAGCTGAGTCGCGCTGACTGCAAAGCCACTCATGAAACATATCGGAAATCCAGCTCGTTGGATCAGCACCTAAACAGGATCTTGGATAAATCGATTCCGATTAGAGTGGTGTAAGGGTCTGCGAGGTCGCTGGAAGCTTCAACTTCAATGTGCAGTTCACAGGCAGACCCACAGATGTGGGTCGAAGCAACGTTCCTAGCAGTCGTCTCGATTGACTTCATGTTTGTACTGCTTCTTCTCGACGAGTGTCAGCCGAAAGCGCATCGTGGCAGGCTGGAATCAGCTCGCAATGGCCGTCACGGCGTGCCTGGAAGTATATTATGGCCAAGAGAACCGAGACAAAGGAACAAGGGGGCTAGCACTTGTTGGACAGAGGTTAGACCATGAAGAGCAATCAGGAGCTTCGTACCCTCCAAAGCTGCCTAGCTCCATATTTTTGGAAAAGTGCTCCCATGGGACGGTTTTCAGACAAACAGGGGCGCTGACTATGTTCAAAAAGGAGGCCCTGGACAGGGGAAAATGATCCGGGCCTCTGGCCTCTTTATGGGAAGCTATCAAAACAACAGGTTTTTTGTGTTATAATTATGCTTTTAGTCAGTTCTCCTTACTATATTAATTGTCCTTCGTGCATCCCTGTCCTCTGCCAAAAGCTCCCGCAGTCGCGTGGCCGGCGACATCCCAGCACTTTCGCGGTTTGACTAGGACTTGGATGCTTTTGCGTGACGGCTTCCGTCAGGGCTTGGCTTTGAGGCTTCAAGTTTGAGGCTAAGTGTCTGCGTGTCTCTGTCTCTGTGTGTGTGTAATCAGTCTGAGGTTAAGCTGCTGGAATGACTCTGCGTGCATGCATGTCTTGCATTGCGAGGTTTCCTGGCTGGCAAAGCCTTCTCTCCAAGCCTTAAGCATCGCTCGAAAAGTAATTTTTTTTAGCAGCTGAAAGAACAACTCGCGCGCAACCTGCTTGCACATGCAACGGACCCATCCATGTCAGTAAGCCCCGCACGAGGGGGAAGGTGTTGGGTGGGATTGCAGCCTCAGACTCAGCGTGACGATCGAAGCTATCTGCGAACGCTAGAGTAATTGGTTTCACTGGGATGAAGGGAGAAGAGGATTAGCCCGTCCAGGTAAAGCCTCTGATGCAGAGGTTCGATGGCAACGAGCCGAATCGGGCCACGAGGCTCTGTCTTGTCCACAGCTGCCTTTGGCGATGCCTTCCGTGATGGGATATTGGGCACGTCCTCCCACTGTCATGCTGCAAGCACTGAGCAGCTTAAGTTCAACTCAGCACGCGCCCTCCTGGAAAGTAAAGCTGAACGGAATGAAGCGAGAGATCGAGAGAATTTCGCTGGCGACAAAGAGAGCGATGTGCAATACGCTGCCTGGTCACAATGACGCATCTTACATCCTGCTTCTCCTTCCAGCTCTGAGATGGGGGGTAGAGTAGATACATCGGATGGTTTGGCTGTCAGGCGGGAACCAAGAGTCAATTGCCGACCCACAAATCCCGAAATCCAAACCCCACGTTTGCGCTCCGAGTCCTTCTCCATGAACATCACCTGAGATCACAGCTCAGCTGTCCGACTCTGAAGCCAAGCGAAAACTTGAGCGCTCACGCACTCGCAGCAAGCAAACAAAGAGCATCAGCAGACAAGTGCAACAACTGGAAGGATGCAGAGACGCCCAGTACTACCGAAGGTCTGCGAACAACCAAACCCTAAAGCCTGATACATCAAACTCGACATCCTAAGCCCTCCTACCCGTAAGTCCGCAAGAGCCGTGCACTAAAGGCCATGACGCTGACTGACGCTCTACAGGGGGCAAAACTCCCGAATCCTACAACCCGCCCAAAAACTCTAAAAACCTGAGCCCGGCGCCGTACACCCTGCCCAACACTGGCTCTACTGGGCTTGCGGCCGGCATCATACCGATTAGAACGAAGAGAAAGCCGATGGCCGCGACGCCAACCTTCCCAAGGAACTCCGAGGATCGACCCCCAAGAGCTGCTCGTAGGCATATTTCACAAGCTCGTGGATAGTAGTTCTAGGAAGGATCACGAGTGCGGAGGTTTGAGTTAGCTGTGGCTATAGGTTACAGTCATCTTACAAACCGCTTCGATTGTAACACTACCCAGCCGATTCATCATCTAAGCATTGAGTCTCAAAAGGCCCGCGACCTATAGCCATCTTCTAAAGCGACTTACAACTAACCAGGAACCCTCAGAAGTGCTCTAATCCACTGCCTCTCGGGGCGGAGTTGCATTGACCTCAGGATCTTAGGGTTGGGTTAGGTTCCACCCTTCAACAACGACCGCATGAACAGGACGAGCCGGGTTGCGAGGGGTAGGGCTGGGGACAGGGGAGCTTGCTTGCGGGGCATGGCGAACCTGGACAACACCGAAGCCGCAACTGAAGGAATGGAGCTTCAAACTTTCGAGGGATGCCTTTTTGCTATGGAATTACGTAGATTCCTTTGTGCAGCAGCTAGCAGCCAGTCTCAGAGCCTCCACAGCAGAGGGCCGTGGTGGGGATTTTTCACAGAGGGAATCCAGCTTGGGAGACTGAGTCGGAAAGTTTATAGGTACTGCTTAGAATTCATAGTTGTCTTGCTTTCATTGCATGATCCCAGAAGTGCCTGCAGCGAATCTTGACCCGAAGTTTCCGACACTCTGGCACATGGATGCTCTCTGGGCGGGTTGAAACTAAGTTGAAACGTGAAACCTAAGGACCACACACGCATTCCTAGAGCTGCAAAGAGGGTCCCTGGAATGCTGAGCTCTGAGCTCCCATGTACTTCCCATAGACCTGAGAATGCGCAATCGCGCAGTGAAGGACCCGTGTGGAAGCCAGACGAAACGGAAAGCTGTGGAGCACGGGCGGAGTACGATCAGCAAAACCGTCTTGACGCTGCAGTGTGCCAGTATGGTTTCTGTCCGGTTGGCGCTGCTTCACTGCTTTGTCGACAGGCTCAGAGACATTTCATTCGGCCTGTGCCCTGCGGCAGCGGCACGGAACTGCCCGAAAATCCAATTCGGCTGGGGCGCGCCGATCACGAAAGTAATGCCCAGATTCGTGAACTCGTGGACCTGAGGTTTTCATGCCACTGGAAGACAAGGCAGACGCTTCGGCTCTGTAGGTTTTAGGGATTAGTAACCCCAGCTTGCGGGCTTGTGGCTGGTCTGACGGGCAGCATACCCGCCTCATTCTTACGTTTTACCGGTGGCTTGCGCAAGCTTCGAATCCAATTTGCGGCAGGAAATGGGCCCAGGCGGTGTAGTAGTTCCCAAGTCCACACGCCTCAAGGGTACTGCTGGGATTTTTGGGATGTGCAACGCAGAATGCAACCTTTTCCTTCTTCGCGTCAACGCTAAATGCAGTTGGCCACAGTTGCCGGTCGAGTTGTATCCAGAAGGCGCCTTCACAGAAAACGTGGCGACAATGTTACCGATCCTTGGCTGGGAGCCGGCGGCGGGATGTTGTTTTAAGCTTTTTCGAAGAGGAGCTCTGCTCGTTGCAGCTCTGCGCGGGCCCCTGAACGCCTAATTCGCAACACCCCAAATCCCTTTTTTGGAGCAGGGACTCCAATGCACTAAGCCCTGAATCCCTTCAGCCAAGCTCCACCCCAAATCCTAAACCCCCCCAATTTCAACTCCTAAAGAGCCGAGAAGCACAAACAGGAAACCTGAGATGAGGCCCTCTGGGGCAACGTAGAAGCCAGAGCCTCCGGTCGCATGTTTGGGGCGAGAGTCTTCATGTTCACAATCCATCATCGGTTTGGGAGCAATGCTAACAAGAAATACCATTCGCCGTCGTCGCAACCATAGCATTAGTTAGCAAATGCTAGCAGAGAAAATAGAACTAGTGGCCGCCGCAGGCTGCATTGTCCTTGGACTCGCGTTGTTCTGAAGCCTCAAGCCTGGACAGGCGAAACAATCCTTGGAACCATGGTCGCGGGATGGAACTTGAAATCCCAATGCGTCTCCTTGCAACTATCCCAACCCTAGGAGGAATCCGGGCTTCGAGCTTCGGAAGTCGTCAGACCAGACCTGGCTACTGTAGCTGGGATGCATGCCACCGAGGTTGAAGGGGTTTAGGATTTATGTGGATCATATACCCAAAGGCATGATGCCGCACGGCCACACTTCAGGGCTTAAGAAGCTGTGCTCCCTCATGAGTACTACTTGATTGGATCCGGGGTGCTGCAACACTCAAAACCCGAAGCCCCAGAAGACCCAGAAGTCCTGAACCCAGCTTAGCAAAAGGACCTTGAAGTAGCCACTACCACTAGCAAGTCTTAAAAAGCTCAAAGCTTCACATCTCCAAACTCATCGGAGCGGCGTTCCGCACAGCAGCACACATTAGACCGGCGAGCCTCAGAAGTTCGAAGATAAGTAAGCAAAATCTGGGTATACATATATATATATATACATATATATATTATACATACATACATATATATATATAAGCCCTCAACATATCAAAAGTATCTGCTTTCAATTTGGTAAGCAGATGCTTAGCAAAGGGGGACACACACACACACTCATATGATTTCTGGAACGACAAACCTATCTAATATCAGTGCTTTGAGTGTGCACAGGTACGGTACAAAGCCAAACAGACATAAGACCAGAAACTGTTGTGCATTGGTGCACCTGTCACGGGGGTGTGCGGAAATAAGTGGAGTGGACGTTAACGCAAGATCCTTGTCCCTAGCATGTGCGACACTGCGGTCCTGATTGGCGACGCTGCGGTCCTGATTGCTATTGGTTGCTTGCCTCCGGAGAACACGGTTCTCTTTGTCGTTAGTTGCCGGATTTTTCTCATGAAGATGCAGAGTCCGTCCAGAAGCCAAAGGCCTGAATTCATGTATTTCCGTAATCAAAACGCCTTTATAAATCGGTTATCGGGTTTCGGCATCCTGCTGCTGAACTCACCTTCATGTTCCGATCTGCTAGCTTCATCTAAGAAAATATGCTTTTTCTTGTATGATGGTGTTGCCGAAGCGTCTCATATGTTACTTAAGCTTACTACAGATGTCGCCTTTTCTGTAAGAGCTTCCTCTCAACCTGGAACCCGGAAGCCCCGGCTGCGCCGTGAACGGTATCCCTGAAACTTTTCTGGATTATAAAAGTAGATCCGCAGAACTACGCGTGGAGAGCAAGAACGGCCTTGTGCCGGGTCGATAATCACTTACGGCATGTGCAGCATGCTTATCCGACACCCGGGCGCTGAGGACAGGACATGATTCCGCTGCACCTAGGAATTCAGGCGTGCTGGTGCCTCTGGACAACAGCTGCTTACCCCTTTGGGCCTTTTTGTACTGCATGGTGGGCATGGTGTCATCAACTGAGCTTGAAATCGTCTGCCAAGCCACTGGTACCATTGGAAGACGAGGCCGTCATGGATGTCATACTTTTTAGCCTCTGCCGCTCAACTTGGTGGAACCGGCACTCGACCAGGGTAGCTGTCTGGAGCTCAGATGGGTGGCCTTCGGTTTTTCCTCTTTGTTCTTTGCTCTGCCAGGGGTCAGACCATCCGTGGAGTCAGTGAAGTCCTGTGCTTTGCAGCTGGGATCTTCTGTGTGCTCTCATGCTATCTCTACTTCTGAGTCCTGTGGCCAAGCTGTCAAAAATACCCATTGCCTGCACCCAGAGTTGTCCTGTTGCCTTCTGAAAATTCCGAGC